ACCCCCCCCACCCCCCACCCACCCACCCGCCCCACCACTCCAGCATCTTTACTAAAATATGAACTACAGGCATCCTATTCGCGCAGTAGTTTCGGAATATCGACACTTATGTTTATCTGCTTTACCATTATTCACAAATATCTTTTTTTATTCCCCCCCCCTCTGTTATTGATAGAATCGCAAAAGTATGCCACTACCACAAAGATATTTCATTAGATCCGTAATAATATGCTGGCAAAAACACGATTATTGAACTTATTATTTGATAATGAATAACGTCCCACCATCCTCTCTCTCTCTCTCTCTCTCTCTCTCTCTCTCTCTCTATAATAGTAATTATATACACATTTTATAACAATATTAATTGAAAATTTAAACGAAACAAGTATAAATATAAATGCGAATAATATATTATATTAGCGATTGATATTACATTCAGAGAATTTTACTTTACTCTAATATGCAACATTTTGGAAGCAATATAAAAAATTAATCAAGATATTATTAAAAATTAAAAATTATAATGCAATGCAAATGTTTCTCTTAATTCAATATACTTTTTCACTTGACTATATTCTTTTATGGCAATCATTTAATATTGTTCGATTAATTTACAAGTACATATGACTACTTTAATATTCTCACTTACTTTTATCATTCGTTCTTTCCCTTCTTATATGCGTACGCTCGCACTTTAATCGACTCTCAAAATTATTAACAGAACATTATAATTATAATGAGAAGATTTATAGAAGATTTCTATGCATTTATAAGTTTCACAAAACATTTCATTTATCCAGACGGCTACTCATTATTCTAAAACAATTATATTAATTTTATTTTTAATAAAACATTCGTTGTTAGTCGTATGCAAAAAATTTGTAAATTATATAACATTGAGTTAAACCAATTTTAATAATAAGAGATACTTTTTATTTTCTTATTTTCAATTTTAATTACAAATAATTACCTTAAATAATTAATTGAAAATTTTTATAAACTATCATGAAATTCTCTGAGTAAGCAGCTTTTACGAACAAAGTGTCATACAATGAAAATTAACCATAATAATAAGTATTAATTATGGTATTAATATTATACATGCAGCGCTTGATAATATTATTATTGTATTATTGTATGGTATTCCTGATGTGTAAAAATTAAATAAACACAAGTATAAAAATTAATAAAATCATGATATACCATCAATATTCTGAGAACTATATTGCATAAAATATTGTAAACTTTATATTTCTGATAATATGCGATTGAAATTGATTCGGTAGAATTACATCGAGTTCATATTGCTTTTACTAAAGCAGAATGAGCTTTGCCAATTATCATATTCGCTTTATCACTTTTATTAATTTTATATACAAACCGTTTAATTATATATAAAATGAAAATATAATCTTCCAATTCTACTCTAACGAAGATTAATTTTATATTCAATATGTATTATTAAGCTTTTGCAAAATTTGGATTCATCATCGATAATAATGATAAATTGATGGCAAATTAATGCAGTTTCCTAAACGTAAATTATTTCTCAGTAGCCTTAAATTGCGCAAATATGTTAAATTGTTTCTAAAGATGATGTTTCTTTCAACATAAAATAAAACTCATTAAAATACTTTAGTCCTTAACAACAGAAATACTTAAATAACCCAATTATATTTATAAAAACTTAACATTACGATAGATCAATATAAGTTATATTACTTCAAGTGAATTGAGTGAATTAATTATGTATGTGGGATGCAAATACAAAACAACGGCATTAGTAGACAGTTAAAGTCTATACACAATTATCACGTATGTGTGTATACAAATACACGTAATAAGACTTGATTTTAAACTATTTCTCAAGCATGAAATAAATCAATTAATTTGATTTCATCTTTATCGTATATGCGGAGATTATATTATTCAAATTATTTACGCTTCATTATCAATGAAATGAAGAATATTTTAATTTTATACTTCAATTGAATTCTTCAAATAAGAAGTACCGGCATTAACAAAATAACGAAAAACTATTAATCCATCATATTTATATATAAAATTATGTATAAGTAAAATAAATATAGATTATACAGTTAATTTATGCGTAAAATTTATTTGAAATTGTTAAGAATAAATTGATTGGTCTTATAGTATTAATTGAATAAATATTTTAAGATTAATGAGGTTGAGTAGTGCGAAATAAAAGTCAACTTTTCAATATTGCGTAGTTACTATAATTGTACGATTAACAAGCGTCGTAAAGAAACTTTTTAATATAATTTAAACATATTAATTTATTATAAATATATTACTATAAATATCTTATACATTTATTTACTAATTTTAAGAATAAAATTATTTATTGCGCAGTAAATTTATTTTTTATAAATCTTTAAGATACTTAAATGTCATTGTATTATAAATTTTACGATAATTTCTTTATAATAATTGCTGTTAGATGATTCTCGATTATAAAAGAAAATATTGGTAATATATATAATAAATGCAACAATTAATTAAATATGAGTAGATATTCATATAAGAGAAAAAATATAACAATGTAAAAAGTTATAGAAATATATGTGAAAGATAAATTGTCGCGGTTTGCTATGAAACGTAAAAGTAAAAAATATAATATTGAACAGACAAATATATTCATTAATAAAGTGTACAATGAAATAAAAAAAAAAAAACCGAATACTTTTTCAAGAAAAGCATTAACTTTGTAAATTAAAAAATAAGGCTCGTAAAGTAAAAATGTTTAAAGTGATGTAAAATAATGCAAAATTGAACATATTAAGCGATTCATTGCGCATTAATTTCGTAAATTCTATCTAATTTCTTTGAGCTGAATGAATCAAATTTAAGTTATAAAGTGTAAAAGGATTGTTAAATCGATAATACTTTAGTAAATTGAACTATTTATAAAAAAAAAAAGACTTCTTTTTATAAACATATATTTTTAAAATTGTGTAAATTATAACATTTGCTAATCACAAATGGATATACAGATGCTTCAATAATAATTTTTAAATATTGAAAACTATTATTGGATTTAGTTTTTCTTGTTTTACACATATAAAATTGTTAAACAACAATAAAATGCCAAAATTAAGGTATTGATAAAAGAAAAAGAAAAAATTGTTATAATCGACATTAAAGGTAAATGTGAAAAAGTTGTAGAAATAATAATAGAAGAAGTAGAAACGAATAGTAACACTGTTCAGTAATGTAGAGAATTATCGATTTCCTAAACTAGCAAAAGAATCATATACGGAGAGAGAGAGAGAGAGAGAGAGAGAATAAACAAGGTAGCAGCAAATATATGTGTAAAAAAAAAGTTTTTAAATATATTTTGTGCACATGGGATATTCTACGTATTGCCACTTTTCTTTTACCAGATATTAAGTTTACGATATAAACTTTTTCAAGCTCAAGGATTTCATGAAAATTAAATCGATATCTTGCTATACGTAAACTTTTACGCCTTCCTTCAACAATAAAGCAGTAAATAAAAAGAAATAAAGATTATTGATAAATTTGAAGTACTTTTGGAACAAAATTTCCCTTTTTTAAAAATACCTATATATTATATTACCCATAAAAATTAAATAACTATATATACATGCAAATGAATAAATGTAAATATTGCAAAAATTGTCGTAAAAATTGTCCCGCTATTCGGTGGAAATAGGGATATCGGATACGTTGTTAAAAATAAGACGTCTTTTACGAGAAATGCGCATCCCTACGACAAAGATAAGCTGATCCCAAAATTCAAGGTGATTTAGCACCCTCCGTTTTCGGGGTTATTTTTAATCAATACAGACAAGATTGGCGCTGCTCAAAAGAATATCAGGAGCGAGCTGATAAAATATAATGTACAATATTCATTGTTGATTCGGCCAGCGCCGAAGTCAAGGTGCGTACTCCGATCGCGCAGTGAATATCAATATCGAGCAATTCGATACGGTCCAGATAACACCTACGTGCACACAAACTTACATAAAATCCAGTATTGAGCATATAAGCGCGTAAAAAAGGAGCAGCGGCGAGCATGGGG